AATAAAACCGTTCCCTAAGCCTTCCGAGCGTCCTGGTCACCCCAAGATGTCCTCCAGTAGTTCCATCATGGATTTCCTGCAGCACTTCTGGTATCCTGTTTCTGGGGATTATTATCTGCTTCCGGTCTTCCCCCCCTTCTGGCATCTCCAAAACGCGCTTTAGAAGCCCGTCACTTAGGATGATGGAATTCCATTGGGCCCAGTACGATTTCACATTCGGCGAATATTGGGCGACTTCCTGCCACGTTGGTTTACGGTCGTTCTTCTTCCAATCGATGATAAGCTTCAAATCCGGATCCCTTTCCTGGTCTTGTTGAACCTCAGCGGATTGCCAATGATCATCCACGATTGTAGTTCTGCGAACAAACACATCCTTTTCTTCGGCCCTAAGACAATGTTTACAGTCTTCCGGGCAAGGTCTTCTTGACAAGGCGTCAGCATTTCTATGGATGGTCCCAGCCCGATGTTCTGTGTCAAAGTCGAACTCCTGTAGTCTCTCAATCCATCTTGCTACCTGTCCTTCAGGATTCTTGAATTGCAAAAGCCATTTAAGGGCAGCATGATCCGTTCTTAGCAAGAATTTTCTTCCATACAGGTACTTGTAAAAGTGTTCGACTGATTTTACCACTGCTAACAGCTCGCGTCGAGTAACACAGTAATTTCGTTCTGGTTTGGATAAAGTTTTACTAAAGTATCCAATAACTTTCTCTTTTCCCTCTTGAATCTGCGACAAAACAGCTCCCAGTCCAACATTGCTGGCGTCCGTGTCCAAAATAAATTCACCATCCGGAAGAGGATAACTCAGGACTGGTGAGCTGGTCAACGCGTTTTTCAGGTTCTTAAAGGCTTCTTGGCATTCTTCGTCCCATTGAAATCGTCTTTCTCCCTCTGTTAAACGTGTCAAAGGCTTAGCAACCTTTGCGAATCCAGGTACGTACCGCCGGTAGTAGGTGCATAATCCAAGAAAGCTTCTTAAGTCATGTTTGTTTTTCGGTACTGGCCATTCCCGCACCGTCTTCACCTTCTGTTTATCCACTGCAACTCCTTGACTTGAAACGACATGGCCCAGATACTGCACTTCCTTCTGGAACAAGTGACATTTCTTTGGGCTAAGCTTCAGGCCAGAACTTCTTAAGCGATGAAAGACTTCCTTCAGGTTCCTCATATGGTCCTCAAATGATTTCCCAACCACAATGATGTCATCAAGGTACACCAAGCATGTCTTCCAGGATAGTCCCTTCAAAACCATTTCCATGAGCCTTTCAAAAGTTGCAGGGGCATTACATAGTCCAAACGGCATGACAGTAAACTGCCACAGTCCAGCACCCACGGTAAACGCCGTCTTTTCTCTATCTTCTGGTGCCATTTCAACCTGCCAGTAACCGCTTTTCAAATCCAGAGTCGAAAATATTTGGGATCCAGCCAATGTATCCAGGGTGTCATCTATCCTAGGCAGAGGGTAGCTGTCCTTCTTCGTCACGTTGTTCAGTTGACGAAAATCGACGCAAAATCGAGTTGATCCATCCTTTTTCTTAACTAACACCACTGGGGAAGACCATGGGCTGTTGGATGGTTCGATCACCCCTTCCTTCTCCATTTCATGCACAATTTTATCAGCTTCCTCTCGCTTGGCAAGTGGCAGCCTTCTTGCCGACTGTCGAATAGGCTGTGAATCACCGGTGTTAATTTTATGCTGGACAATTCTTGTCCTACCCTTCTTTCCTTGTCCGTCGTCAAAGACATCCTGATAGTTGTGTATCAGCTCTCTCAGCTTTATTCTCTCATTTGGCTTTAAGTCCTTTGAAGAAGTCGAAAGCAGAGTCGTCAATTCATTGCTAATTTTCTTGGCCGGAACTCCAGACTCACGAATGCTTCTAATAATTGAAGAAACAGAAGAACAGTTCCCCAAAACGATTCCTTTTTTCAAGTTCACAGAGTAACCATTAACATTCAATACTCTTACAGGCACTTCTTTTCCGACACGTATTAAAGTCTTCCCTACTACAACTCCTCGACCGACCTCTTTGTCATCAATTCTCGGCTCCAGAAGCATTATACTTCCATCTTCTGATTTACAATCCAAGAAAGCCTTCAATATCATCTCGCTGTGTTCCGGTATCAAAGCATCTTCTGTTAGCATCACACGAATATTCTTCTCTTTAGATCGATGCAACACGACTTCCTCTCCATTTACTCTCAATATTCCTTGTTGAAAGTTTAATTCAAATCCTATAGAGTTCATAATGTCCATGCCTACAATAACTTCATCTTCAATATCTGCTACTAATGCTCGATGTTTAAATTTCGTGTTTCCTATGACCATCGTGATGTCCACTTCTCCATGAACAGTAGCAGTATCTTCTGTTGCAGTACGTAGTCGCCTATTGGTAGATTTGATCTTGGACATTTCGACAATATCTGGCCTAATAATTGTCTTCGTCGCACCTGTATCCAGCAGCAGCACATGTAATTTTCCATTAATTAAACCATCCACAAAAACACTGCTGGACTGGTGTAGAAGAGATGCAACACGTTCGATATCTTCTGGGGCATGCTGGTTACAGGTCGACGGTGGCCCCTTTTCCTCGACCCTATCTAGTTTTCCGACTGAGACGAAGTCGGCGCCACCTGGCTTTCTCTGCAACGACTTCGTATATGTCCTAGCTTTCCACATCTCCAACACCGGATTTCCTTCTTCTCTGGTAGATTTTCTTTAAAAACTCGCCTGATTGCTTCAATTATTCTGGGTTCCTCCTCTTTCTCTTCATCGACTCTCCTTATTCTAGGCTGGCTCCTGCAGCTCTGCTTTGCCGCCTCGAATTCCAAAGCTCGAGCCAATGCATCAACCAGTTGGCTCGGACGAGCCAGTGTTAGAGCCTGTCTTGTTTCGTTGTCTCGAAGTCCATCCAAAAAGGCTTGAACCGCTAATCGTTCCATAACGGTCGTTGGAGTAGCTGGATATGCTAGCCGGACCAAGCGTGCAATATCAGCCTCGAATTCTTGCAAAGTCTCGTTTGATTTCTGGCAGCGGTTCTTAAGTTGGGAATGGTAGACATGTTCCAAATGTGTCTGGCCATATCGAAGTTCCAGATGTTTAACCAACGCTTCGTAATCTTCTTGTTCGTTGGGAGAGAGTGTCTGCAAGATGTCCGTTGCATCTCCGCGTAAAGCCAGAGTCAATGCTGTAGCTTTTTCTTCTGGTAGCCAGCCATTTGCTTTTGCTGCTGCCTCAAACTGACGGATGTAGTTGGTCCAAGAAGTTTTTCCATCGAACTGAGGTGGTTTCATTCGAACTCGGCTCCCCTCCGGCATTGTTCCTGGTTCCGCCAGCATCATGGGTAGATTTACAGCTGTCAGTTTACTATTTATTTCTCTAATTTTGACCTCCAATTTCTCGTTCAATTTTTCTTCTCTCGTATCCAATTCCATCCTTACGTTATTTAATTCCATCCTTACATCGTCAACTTTCTCTTCTAATTCATTGACATTTTCTAGAATCTTCCCTTCCAAATATTCTTTTAGGTTTTTAGAATTTTCTAGCATTTTCTGTTGCAAATCGTCCTTTAACTCGTTGACATTTTCCAGAATCTTCTGTTGTAAATCGATTTTCAAATCGCTAGAATTTTCCACCATTTTCTGTTGCAAATCATCCTTTAAATCGTTGACATTTTCTAACATTTTCTGTTGTAACTCGTTAGAATTTTCCAACATTCTCTGTTGTACATCACTAGAATTTTCCAACATTTTCTGTTGCAAATCGACTTTTAGTTCTTTAGAATTTTCTAGCATTTTCTGTTTTAAATCGTTTAAATTTTGCAACATTAAATGCATATCACACGAACCTTCAAATAAATACGTATCTGGATTTTCACCCTCTTGTTCCAACGCTTCTCGAAGCCGCTGCTGCAACACATTCTTTTTTCCAGTTGTTTCACATTCCCTTTCTTCCAGCTCCCGCTTAAGGTCCGCCACTTTTAAGTCCATTAACGAAACCATTTTCGCGAAGTTTCACACTAACCGCACTCCTGACACCAATTGTAACGTTTTTAACTGTTCGTAGTGTGAATAAAAACACGCACTGGTTAATTAACGAACTTAACTATTTATTTAATAACTTAACTACACTTAAAACACTATAAAACTAACTAAACACTTAACTACTAATTATTTATATATCACTATTGTTCAAGAGTCTATTTATTTGCACTTATATTTATTTATTTCGCCGCGAGTACCAAATCTTAACTGACCGCCGTGTGCTGCTCCGTTTCTTATATATTCAGCGCCAAGGTCTTCTGGAACATTCCAGCGAGCTCCACACTCTCGATTGTTCGAGCGCTGAGTCACCGGCGATGACTCATCGGCGATGACTAACCGGCGATGAGTCATCACTCCGATATCCAGAGCGGTACTCGCTACAATAGTAATAAAAGTATAATACTAAAAAATTGGTATAAATTTTAATTCTTTATAATTTTGAATCTACCTAAAAATTATGTATAATTCATTTTTAAAATTCGCTTATTTTTATGTTTATTATTATGTTAACCCCTTCAGACCTGGCCTACATATACATGTACATGTAAAAACCCGGTCGTTAAAAATTAAATTCTTTCCGACGCCTAAAAAAATCCTTCCTTTCGATGAAAAACTGAGGGGAAAAAACTTTTTTTTGGTTTTCATAAATAAGTGTAGTTTGTTCCTAAAAGTATGTACTAAGACATCTAAAACTATTTTGGTATTATCTACACCTAAACAGTATAAAACATTTGATGTACATGCATGTGAAATTTCCTTAGAAGGAAATTTTACACTTAAGATTTTTTAGCATCAAATATGTATTATTTAGGTCCTAATTGTATGGATTTAAGATCCATTTATTTTTTTATCGTCGAAAAATAATTCAGGTTTGAAGGGGTTAATGATTAATGACGATTATAATTAGATCTCGCCGATTCATTTCTAGTTAAAAAAATGTTTTTTATTTTGCATATTTCTAGATGAAAATCAGGATTACTTTGTAAAACTGAAAAAACTGATAGAAGAAACCTACGAAGAAAACGGCAAGGCACAAGTCATTCTATTGGCCCATTCGATGGGCAGCCTTATGTCATTGTATTTTTTAAATCAGCAAAGCCAATATTGGAAGGACACCTATATTAAAAACATGGTAACACTTGCCGGAGTTTGGGGGGGAAGCATGAAAGCTGTAAAAGTATATGCAATAGGTATATTTGGCTAACTTATATTTAAAGGACTTGAACATTCATTTAAAAAAATTGCAGGTGACGATTTGGGATCTTATGCGTTAAGAGAGAGCGTTTTAAGAGCAGAACAAATATCATCGCCCAGTTTAGCCTGGTTATTGCCTTCCAAGCTGTACTGGAAACCTGACGAAGTTCTAGTGGAAACTGAGAAGAAGAACTTCACCGTCAACGATCTCAAGGAGTTTTTCTAGTAAGTATCTGGGACGAAAATAAAACATGTTATTAATTATGATTCTAGCGACATTTCATTTCCTGATGGATGGGAAATGAGGAAGGATACTGAACCGTTTCAGTTGAACTTCAAGCCACCTGGCGTTGAAGTTCACTGTCTTTTTGGTGTTAATGTTAATACTGTTGAAAGGTAAGTCGATTGATTTTTTGGGGCTTTTTGTTTGATTTTTATTAGGTGGCAAGACAAAATCATATGCTTTACATTCATTGCTTATTTTTTTATCACCATGTGGAGTGAGAAAATCGCCCTCGCGAGAAAAAACGATTTAAAGGAAGAATCCTACAACAAATTTCCCGACCATTACATTTTTTGGTTATAATTTATATTTTAATATTTTATATTTATTTAATATATTTTAATTCTTTGTCGCTAGGGCAACTTTCTATATACACTGTTTGAATAAAAAGTATACATTCTACAGTAGGGTGTCCGTTATTTATCAAGTTGGCTGTTTTCACTTTCACATTTAAATTGTTAGTTTATAGCCTAAAACAATTTAAAAACATTGTTTGCACTTTTTGGAAAATATTTTTTTCTTGTTTATTATATTCAATATCTTACCAAATATTGTGTTTAATTTACTGAACGTTTAATATTTATTCTGTATTTAATGTTAAATTTTATTTTACACGCTTTTAATATTGACTTTATAAATATTGTAAATCATTAATAGTTCATTTTAAATTTTCTATTAAAGCCTAACCACCATCTATCGCTGGACCATGAACTTTTAAGATAAAAAATATTTTTCACTTTAGTCAAATGTTTTTAATCACTAAGGGTTGTATGCAGAAACGTTAATTTATTAATATCAACTGATTTATGCATATCATTGGATTTGGGTTTTTTTCAACAACATTTATGTTTAATTATGTCTTTTTTATGGATTTTTTTATATATTTACAAACAAAAATATCATCTATTTTAATAAATTATATCAACCGATTAACATTTTAGATGATTTTATTGGCCAAAAAACAAATCTAGTAAACCATGACTTATATTATCGAAATTATGTTCTATGGTTTTTTTCAACAAAATTATTATTATTATTTACAAACAAAAATACCATCTATTTTAATAAATTATATCAACCGATTAACATTTTAGATGATTTTATTGGCCAAAAAAGAAATCTAGTAAACCATGACTTATATTATCGAAATTATGTTCTATGGTTAAAAGCAAATATCACAAATCTATATACAGGGTAATTGATGGTCGATGGTACGTAAGACGTTTACGGAAAACGGTACATAGGAATGATCTGAAAATTTGGTTACTTAAGTTATTGCTTCTGATCTATCGATCTAAAATATTTTTAACGATGCGACGTTGCCGCGTATACAAAAAAGTAGCATCACCGGTGTTATTTGAATTGGGATCCCCTATATATTATTGCATTTTTTGATCCGTTATTGCTTTCTGAATATTTTGGAAAAAACTTCCCTATACCTAACTGTAGTGGTTTTCGAAATATAAATTAATTTCTTTATTTTTTCTTGAAAACAGCTCCAATTAATTTATTTTTACTACGCCACTGGGATTCGTAGAAATTTAAAATTTTGGGCGTAGGGAGGTCCTGTGTATTAGTTCTGAGTAAGAAAATTTGATCTATATTATACAGGGTTGGTAAAAATGAGTTACTTTTCCGCTATTTCGGAAACCTAACTATTTAGGTATAGGAACATGATTTATCATTTTTAATTGGCTTTTAGAAGATTTGATAAAATACAGGGTGTTCTATTTAAAAAAATGCACTTTTCACCAATTTTGTTTCTAGCGTTAGTGCAAAAAAATGTTTTTTCAAAATTGTTTTTAGGCTATAAACTAACAATTTAAACGATACCCAAGATAAAACAGCCAACTTGGTAAATAACGGACACCCTATTGAACAGTCCCTGGCCAATTTATTACACCCACAAACTTTTTAAGTCCATGAATAGGATCGCGTTATAAACTCTTTTTAGGAGTTTTGGGCAATGCATGCATCTTCTTACGCTTTATCCAGTTTCTTTTCAGAATACGATTTACTGCATGTAAATATCGCTTAAAGTGTTTTGTCCGTCTATGTGCTTTTGTTTTTGTTGTATTCTAGATTGCAATATAAACGCAAACATTGGTTATCTTATAACTCGATCTTCCATAGATTGAAATATAAGCCGCGCACATGGTTGGACGGTTACCCGACCCTGGTCTATGGAGACGGCGATGGTACGGTTAACCGACGTTCTCTCGAGGGTTGCCTACACTGGAGGGGCTACCAGAAACAAAAAATACACGCGACACCTTTCGACAAAGTCGATCATTTGCAGATTTTAAGGGATGCAAATGTTTTGAATTATATAGCAGCCTTAATCAATGACATTTAAAACGTACAAATTTATTTATTTTTGAACGTGTTTCATCTGAATTTAGGCAACAGGTTTCGGTTAGAGCTCAGCACGAAAATACTCACTTTATGGCTTAATGACATAAATAACTATTTTGCAGAATCTTCGAGTTATGATATAAAACTAACAAAATTGATTTTTACGGGATTTACCAAAACTGCGGAGGAAATTCGTCGCTGCTGAATGACATTGCGTCGTAAAATGCATTTTTTATCTAAATAATCTCCAAAAATGTTTTTTTTGGTCAATCAATTTTTCCGGAAAATTTAAATCTCTAATTAGGTTTAATTTTCAACAGGGCTCCCAGCAGGTAGTTTTTTTAAAGACTTGTCTATATTTTTGTCTTAAGTCTATAAAAGTCTATTTTTTTACCTAAAGTCTATAAAGACTATATTTTCTGTTAAAAACAACTATTAAAAAATATTTTTTTAAATATAAATATTCACAGTTTTATAAATATCGAAACCACAGTAAACCAAGTGAAACATTCGAAAACTTCGCAGTTTACATTTAAAGTTCCCGCCGTCCAGACCCGAACCGCCCGCCAAAATTATTGCTGAATTGTTTCTGGTTTGGTCTAGGGTTTCGTTTACGTTTATAGTTTTGGTTCGCTAGGTTAAGTGCTCATTCATAATGGACGTAACCATAAGATGCCCGTAAACGTAAACGTAAACATAATATCACCATAATTTGTACGTAACGATGAGTTGTGTTTATAATGAACGTATGGCTTATGTATATATTAATAAGGCGCGCATGTCCAAGTTCACTAAAATGGCAGCATTGACAGATTTCGTCTAATTATTATGTCTTAAAACTTAAAAGTTTTAAGGCATAATAATTATAATTATAATTATTATAAATATAAATTAAGTTAAAACTATCAGTGTTATTATAATTATTAGTGTAATGAGCGATATATACGTTGGCAAAGAGAAGAAAAAAAGGGCGAATTTCGTCGAATAATACTCAAACTAAAACTTTAGGATAATGAATGGTTCTTTAGATTGTTTGTTCTGTGGATACACCAGAATACACTTGAAAAAGATCTGTCATCTGTTTGCATGGCTACTACCCTGATTGCTACCAACAAATTGTTGGCAACAATGTTCTAGTGAAATCATGAAAGTTACTAAAATTCACACATAAGAAACCCGTAAAGTTGAGATGATTTCAACTTTACGTATTTTTTACGGTCACCCATCTTATGTTCGAACGTAAAACGTAAAAATTACGGCTATTCATTATAAACAGGCACACTGGTTTTGTTAATGTTCAACTTTACGTTTTACGTATTTCTTACGGGCATCTTATGGTTACGTCCATTATGAATGAGCACTAACACTACCTATACAGGGTGTCCGGGAAAATGTGGGAAATATCTCGGATTCAGATAGAATATGAAAAAATAAGATGACACATTCCTATAAAAAAATTTCCTACTGGCCCTCCTTACGGAGACATGGGCCCCGAAAGGACGCCCCTGCAAATTGGTTTTCCTTGAATAACTTTTAAAGTACTGAATATACAGGGTGTCCGGGAAAATGTGGGAAATATCTCGGATTCAGATAGAATATGAAAAAATAAGATGACACATTCCTATAAAAAAAATTCCTACTGGCCCTCCTTACGGAGACATGGGCCCCGAAAGGACGCACCTGCAAATTGGTTTTCCTTGAATAACTTTTAAAGTACTGAATATAATTTAATAAAAATTTAATATGATGGACCCTGGTAGGGACCTCTTAAAGTAGTGTTCTTGAAACATGTTTTGCTTTTTTTGTTTACCAGGGGCGGACTAAGTTTTACACCTTAATGCTTAAATTTTGTAAAGACTTAACTAAACTAACTAACTTAACTAAATTTGCATAGCGTGAACCTTAAACTAAAATAAAGGTACTCTTGTTTATTGTCAATAAAATGAACCGTTTTCGAGAAAAAGAATAATAAACGAATTATTGTTTTATATTAAATAAAAAAACCGTTTTTGGGAAAAGGAATAATAAACGAATTATTTTTTTATTTTTAATAAAAAAGACCATAAAGAACGTATTGTTGCAAACAAATAAATATGTTAAAATATGTATGGCTCAACTAATGTTTGAAGGGGTGAACCATCCCAAAAAAGAAGCGGGGAAAGTAACTTACAAGATTAGTCGTCTTGCCCAAGATTTAGAAAAACGAAAGGCGAAAATTATAGATCAGCTGCAGCCCACCAAAAAAATATAACCCATTAAATGACTGATGCCAGTGCCTTTTATATAAAGGTGATTCTATTTATTATAAGTTATAATTTATTACAGAATTTAATATTTTTTTGTTATTTATGTATTTTATAACAGTTATGGTTAATTGTTAAATTTAATTCAATAAAAATTTATAATTTCAAGTTATCTCTATATATTTTAAATTCAAATTTAGATCTTTTATCCCAAAAAAATGTATACCTCCATTTTATAGTTATTTCGGTAATTAATTTGGTCTATATTTGGTCGTTTATTTTTTATTATTAGTCTCTTAAGTCACTATTTCTCGCAACATGGACTGCTGGGAGCCCTGATTTTCAAGCAAATGCATATTTAGTCGACCTTTACAAACTTGTATTATTTTTCAACCGCTTTTGAGTAATAAAAATCTATAGCATTTTAGTACTCAAAAGCGGGCGAAAAATGACACTTTCTTAACACTTTCATTATTGTCCGTTTTATGGTGGCGCCATCTATTGATGTATATCAAAAGCGGTCACTTTTATTATTGTTTGTTTTATTATTAATTATATAAATAAATAACGATAAATCATTAATAAATTTTATGTGCCACTGCCAAAAAGTGATATTTTTCATCTTTACGGTGAAAAAAAAACGGTTTTTTTTCGAAAAAAAACGTAAAAATTGAGAAATTTACAGAAAAATTGACTTGCATTTTTTTTATTTTTTTCAAACAGTAATACGAAAAAATGCAAAAGTCAATATTATGAAATTTCCCAAATTTTTACGAATACTATCCGTACACTGATATCGAAAAAAAATGAATTTCCGACAATGAATATAAAAATCATTTATTATTTTTTAATTGGATAATTTCAATGGACAAAAAAGTTTATTTTTTTAAATTAGTTTAATTTAATTAAATGTTAAGTTAATTTTTTTTCCTTTAAGGATATTTTTTTCTAATTAAAATATTGTTAAATTGTTTTTACCCCAATTTTTTCGTTTAATACCCTAGTTCCAATGTCAAGCTTTTTACTTGAATTTTAGTTAGCTTGGCAATTAAAATGCCTTCAAAACTTAATAAAATTAAATTTAAACAATTTCTCTCTATTTAACCTGTTTTACAATAATTGGACAAAAAATTAAAATTTTAATTAATAGAATTTTTTATTGAATAAACTTATTGGCCATCATTGGAAACCATTTTCTTTATTCAAATGAAACACGTTTTTAGGATTAGTGATTAACCACAAAACCGTTTTGATATTTTTCGTTGTCTTCCTTGCTCTCTAGTGTGTGATATTAATTATTGTAAATAAAACAATTTTTATACACAAGAATTTTTATTTTACAATTAATTTACATAGAATATTTATATAGTGTGCTTTTTACATTAATAATGTTACAGGGTTACACAATGTTGTCATTTTACAGTTGCTTAACTACCACATGCATTAACCAATAAAAACCTAAACCTATAATAAAATATAAATAATAATAATAAAGTAATTAATGTATATATAAATGCAGTAAATAAATAATATCACACAAAATTGTTTTGGTTTATAATACAAGAAATATAGTATACATTAGCAGTCTCTAGTTAAATGAGAATAACCTAATAAATTTATTTATGTTGATTAAATAATTTTGTTTAATTTAAACTTTGGTTTGTAAATACAATTAAGTGATAAATTATAATTTATCACACGCGCTAATCTAAATAATAAATTACTTTTATATAGACAAATTTTAATTAATTGGAATGGTTTCTTAGATTTGGCGGTTTGTCTATGATTCAATTTATTTAAAATATCGAGTAAAACCTGCTGTGCATCATCGCCTTTATGGGGCCTGGTATCATTAATTGTCAAGTTTTAAAGTAACTGAAAAAGAAATGTTTTGTCAGTGATCATGCGCAATTAAAAATAAAACGAGTAATAAAAAATAAAATATTTTATTTGAAAAAGACTTCTTCACAATAATTCGTCATTTCCCTCATGCTTCCTATAGAAAGAACACAACAAAAATATAAAACAACAAAATATTACGTATTAATTTTTTTCCTACTAAAATACTGAACAATGTACCTGATAAAGGGCATCCTGGTGGATTCGGAGATGTTGAGATAATAGGCGTAGAATCCGATTATTACCGTTGCTGCAGCGAATAATAGGCCGTATTTTCCCCTGGTTATCAGCATCCACGGTGCGATCTGCTTGTTTATCCGCACCCAGAGACTGTTCTTCTTGTTCATGCGCCGCTTCATTTCTTCTTGGTCCTTTCTACGGCGCTCGATTCTTAAAAGAAGAAACGCAAAAATAGTGAATTTAATTTTACTAAGAGGTACAGTCCCTTGCCAATTTATTGGACTCGCTCACAAGTTTTCTTAAATTTTGAGAATTTCTAAAATAGTGGATCTTCTCAATAAAATGCATTTTTGAAGTTAAAAAAGCGATTTTAAAAAAATTAGGTAACTACTTAATTTTTGCAATAAAATTGATTGCCTTTTTTGTATTACTTAATGAATAAACTCCATACTACATGTATGCATATTTTCATGCAATTTTTTGATATTTTATGACATAAGAAAAAATCACATTTGTCTTTTTTAAATATTACGGTCTTTTTTTAAGAACTAAAAATCTGATCTCTACTGATATTTTTATATTTATACTTTTTTAAATTTAATTTCGTTTTACAACAAATATGTATATCTTAAAAAATCCTACTATAAAAAATCTTAAAATTATGTAAAATTACTAGCAATTTGTAAGCAAATGCAAAAGTTATTTACCCACGACTAAAAGAATTACACAAATTTATCAGAGTCCCTCACAACTTGTCTTTAATTTTGGGGGATATTCAGTCCATATCTTCTTACAAAAATTTGTAGACTACTAAAATAATTAGTATATGAATAAAATTGTGTTAAAAACGCTTTTTAGGATGATACAACTGAAATTATAAGTGAGTGTAAAAAATATTTATGTTATAAAACTTTATTTACTATTTATGTTACAAAACTAATTTTGCAATCAAAGTTTTATTGCAAAAAATGAGTTTGCTGCAGATAAAATAATATTCAACATAATAACTGTTGAACTTTTTTTGTTAAGGGTTTTAAAAAATTGCATGAGTTAAGAGTTCTATAAAAAAATCGTCTTTAGAAAAATTTAAGTAGGAATATTTTTTATGTTAAATGTCAAAATTTTCTTTAAGGGGTTTAAAAAATTGCATGAGTTAAGAGTTCTATAAAAAAATCGTCTTTAGAAAAATTTAAGTAGGAATATTTTGTATTTTAAATGTCAAAATTTTCTTCATATTTCACTAAAAAACTGTTAATTTTTATAGTTAAGTTTCTATAAAATTTAATTTCCTAAATAATATAGGTGCCTTGCTTATAATAAACTTATCAATTTTAGTTTTTGACATATCGTTAAAAACGAGAATTTCTAATTTTTATTTAAAAACTGTTGAAGCCTTTCCTAGCTTTTAAAACATCAAGATAAATTATAATTTATCTTAATGTTTTGAAAGCTAGGAAAGGCTTCAACCGTTTTTATATAAAAATTACAAATTCTCGTTTTTAACGATATATCAAATGGAAAATTGATAAGTTTATTGATCGGCATAAAAATGCGCAACTTTTTCATATATGAACCAACTATGTATCTATCTCTAAATATAAGCAAGATACCCATGCTTAGCCTCGAGAAAAAAACACCCTGTATTAACTTTAGCAAAATAACATTATTAAATGTATTTATTTACATTTTATTGATTATTTTTAAATTAATTCAATATATCCGCAATAATTATAATTAAAAAATATAACATTGGCTTGTTTACTACATAAACACTACTTGTTTTTTGTTTAATTGTTTCTTATCTCTGTTTAGAAAATTAATTTAATTAAAAGTATTATTGTTTTGACTTTTTAATATATTTATTGTGTTAAAAAAGTTTTTTTCATTTCTTATACCCAAGGGAATCCTAAATAAACTAAATTTATTAAACAGTATTTCCATATGCAATTTTTTATACTGCATTTGAGAATACAGTTCAAAGTCCAAGGTCAAATTTAATTTAAAATTTTTTGGGCCAATGGCAAATTTTGATAATTAAATTTGTTTTAATTTTTTAAATGACATTTTTATTTCTTTTAACTTTTTAAGTCGCAGATAAATAACTTTTGCATTCGCTTACGAATTGTTAGTAATTTTACATAATTTTAAATGTTTTTGTGGTAGGATTTTCTGAACTTATTAATACGAAATTAAATACCAAAATCAATGAAATATAAAAATATCACTAGAGATCAGATTTATAGGTCTAAAAGAAAAATAGACTTACTATAGTATCTGAAAAAGGCAAATCTGTGAAATATAAGAAATGCATGAAATCACGTGATGGAGTTTAATTATTAATAAATTAGATTAGGTGTGCCTAAAAAACTGTTAAAACAATTCTGATATCACCTTTTGATATTTAGGAGTTATGGAGTTTTTTAGTTCCTATTAAAGGAAAAAAGGTACAAAGAGATAAATTCTTTAGAAACAAAATCAGATTTGCGCAAAGATACTTAAAGTTATGGCCTAAAAGTGCTTATTTAATATACAGGGTGTTTAGAAAATGGTGCACAATCGTCATACCGCGCTAAAACGGTGGTTATTTTAAGTGTATAAAATTTACAATTTTTTTATAACGTTTCAAAAATGAAAATTTAAAATTTGTTAGTAACAGAGTTTTGATGATTTTAAATTTTAATTTTGACATAAACAGACAGAAAATACGTCTGCAAATCTTGTTAGGGATGTCAAGTTTTTTTAAATTAACTTAATAAAAAAAAACCATTTGGAAATTATTTTGTCATATTTGAAAAAGGACGGGGTAAAACCAAACTTGGCGTTACGGAAGTACTCTTAGGCTCCACCTCCTTTCTGCCACGTGACCTCGCTTCGATGCAGTGATGCCGGATTGGGCATATCGCAAACAATCTGGGCTTGTTTTTTTGATAAAAATTGCAAAAAAGCAATTTGGGCGATTGCTTTTTAAATTTTAGCTGTTTTGCTTCAGTATTCTCAAAATGTTATCTCTTTAGACAATTCTTCAAACAAAACTCAGATTGCAGCCACCTACAGTGTCCAAATATGGTCTCCAAAGTAATAATAGTGAATATTTATTTTTGAACATCTAATTCATTCAATAAAATTGTTCACTATAAAGAAAAATGTCTATGTCTATAAAGATATTAATGATTACTAAGGGGCGCAGTGTTTTTTTGCCATTCTGACGTTGAAAGTTGGCGCCTTGAATTTAAACAATCTGGCAACTATGCTTCAATGCAATTTGTTTCTATGGGTTATCATAGAGACCACGTTGCATCCAGCATTATATTTTATTGTATTATATTTTGCGAATAAATAATTGAATATCTTTTTTTCTGCAGCTAACCAATCATTTTTTGGCTTTTGTTTTTTCATACAGGTCATTCCACTAAATATTTTTTTTGGAGGCCACACCCGCGGGTTTATTTTAAATTTCACATAAAATATTTTTTTCATAATGGGGTTATTTTTTGTTTAATAAGAAAGTACCTAATTGTAAAACATTTTTTTCAAATCATCGCCAATTTTTTCTTATTTTCTGAAGGTAATATAATAACATATGTTTGTATGTCATAAAAACTTCCTTAAATTAAATAATTTTCAGAAAATAAGACTAAATTAAGTTAATTGGACAGATGCATAACCTCAATTATTCGCAAAATCGCATTTTTCACTTTAATTGAATTTTGGAGGGTCTTCCGTGACTTAAAGAATGAATATTTTTATAAAACAGCCAAGACTTTAAAAGAAAACAGTAGGTACTGTTGGTAGTTTTGTAAAGATTATTTTTTACACATTGAAATATTTATTAATTATTTATTATTATTTCTTTAAAGCTGCAATTGAAAACTGCACATTAAAAATAATGTTCCTGTTAATTGAAAACTGCACTGAAGTTTAATTTATTTAAAACAAAACATGATTTTTTTTTACAAAAAACTCTTGTTGGTATTTTTATAAAACATATTTAAAAATATATTTTATCTACTCCTACATTGACGAGCTGTGACTTTATGGCGTTTTATTGACGGGCTGAAGTTAGCTTTATTATAAATTGGGAAAAGTGAGGTTAAATTCGGGTGACAGTTGACAGATGTCAAAATTTTAACAAATAAAATTGGCTTTAAATTCTGTTTTGTCACAAAAACTTTTGTGTTCGTCGTAGATAAAGTATAGTATGCAACTCGTTTATAAACTTCTCTAGACACTCGTTTTTATTAAACACTCGCTCGCAAGCTTCGCTCGTGCTTACCTAAACTCGTAACTAAAATGGCGTTTATAAAACTTGATACATAATATACTATTTTTACACATTAAAATATTTATTAATTATTAAATTATTTACTTTGTTTAAAATCGGGAAATTGAAAAACTACACATTAAAAATAATATTCCTGCTAATTGAAAACTGCCCTTACGTTTAATTTATTTAAAATAAAACAGGAATTTAATTAATTTATGTTTTTGAATGCTTAAAATAACTCATTTCGCGTAGTTTACGGGGCTGGATAGCAAAAAAGCCTCTAAAACCTAATCTCCACTGAAATAGACACATTATTTTAAGTAAAAACGGATCAAATTAATTAATTTAAAAAAATATAACAAAAAAAACAATTTAAAAAAGCAATACATAGAGAAGTAAATAAAGAGATAGTAGAGGAAGAAGGAAACTACTGTTGGTATTTTTATATAACATTATTTAAAAAACATATATTTGGTGGAATGACCCATATATATTTTTAACACATTGAAATATTTATTAATAATTAAATTATTTAATTTTTTTTTAAACATATTTGGTGGAATGACCCATATATATTTTTTACACGTTAATTTTTTTAAAACCGGGCAATTAAAAACTGCACATTAAAAATGTTCTTGGTAATTGAAAACTTACTTAATTTATTTTTTAAAGAAAATACGAATTTAATTAAATTATGTTTTTGAATGCTTAAAATAACTCATTTCGAGTAGGATAGCAAAAATGCCCCTAAAACCTAATCTCCACTAAAATAGACACATTATTTTAAGTAAAAGCGAATCAAATTAATTAATTTAAAAAACAATTTTAAAAAAGCAATGCATAGAGAAATAAATAAAGATGTAAGAGAGGAAAAAGGATATTAAAAGTGTGAAAGCTGAAAATAAAAGCAAGCAAAAACGTTTATTTACAAATTAAAAGCAATTAAAATATAAAGCCTAAACTACATGTTTTTGAGCTTACGCTTACGAAATAAGAAATGCATTAGACTAAAGCGTACCGAGAACATACCACAAATATAACGAAATAAACGCTTTAAGTAGAAAATAAAGCCGACTACATACTGTTTTTTAACTCTCTGCTTCACGTGCGCCTCCAAAGTTTCCGGCGGATGTTTTGCGTAGTATTTCGAGGCCATGATGAGGATTTCCTCGAAGTCCAGATTGTTTGGTATCTGGGATAAAACCACGTGGATCATGGCCATGTCGCAGCCAGCTTCGAAGACGTCTTGTCGCCTGTTTATTACGAGGGCTGTGGTGACGTATAGAGGCATCAAGGGCGGGCTGGCGAGGAAGAAGTCGTACAATCTCACGACGTCTTTGTATTTGTTTAGAGAGTGTCCGAACCAGGTTAGGTACCACGGTAGAGCAAACATCGTACCAACTTCGGCACTAAAAGTTTTTATAGAAATTTTAAAGAAATTGATTTTTTTAATAATAAAAAAGTCGGGTTTTGATTTAAATTAAAAGTTAATTTTTGGTACATTTTTGTATTAAAACGAATTCTACTTTATGGCCCGCTATTTCACTTTTTAATCGTAAATGTTTTAAATGTAAAAGAAAATTGAAGTAGGATTTTAAATATAATGGAGTACCTATATAATTTTTCATAATTTTGATTATGTCTGACTTAATTTGATACGCATTTTTTTGTATAATTTAAATGTTTTACCCGACAAATATTTTTAAACATTTTACATATTATTTTGTTAGTTGAATTAATATTTGCGTCATTTAAATTTGGTCCATTTTTATTTCGTATGAGGTTTTTAACTTTTTTACTTTAAAATTTTTATTTTATTCTATTTTTTTTTAAGTTGCAATTTCTTATTTGGAAGGCAATAATCATTTTTATTTTACAATTAATTTTATATGTACAGGGTGATCCCCTATAATGTCGCCCCCTTTAACTTTTTTATTTTAAGGGTCCCAAAAAGTTTAAAAGTGTGGTTATGTAGGTACTAAAAATACTTTTTTCTACGTATATAGAAAATTGAAAAATTAATCAGTATACAGGGAAAAACAAAAAGTTTATTTTTTTTAATGGATCACCGTATATATGTATTTATTTTTCGATTCCTTGTAAAATTCTAAGCATATTTCATATAACATATGTATACCTAAATTCAACCGTTTCTGAAATATTTAAATTATTTTTAAGATAATAAGTTGAAATAGTTTGTCTTTATCAGATTCTGTCTGAGTACGCCATTTTTACTTATTTAACAAGACATATTGACAGAATATCACTATAGTAATTTATTTTCAATAAAAATTTTGGTATTCTGAGGCATCTTGATTTCTAACAGTTTAAAAAAACACTTAATGATAACATTTCGAATGCGAATATTTCAAAAACAGTTGAATTTAGATATATGGAGGAATCGAAAAATAAATTCATATATAGGGTGATCCATTGAAAAAAAAATAAACTTTTTGTTTTTCCCTGTATACTGATTAATTTTCCAATTTTCTTTATAGGTACATAGAAAAATAAGTATTTTTTAGTACCTACATAACCACACTTTTAAATTTTTTGGGACACTTAAAATAAAAAAGTTAAAGGGGGGCGACATTATAGGGGATAACCCTGTACTTTTTTGACCTGTCAAAATCTTTTGTGGTCAATTGACCGGTCAATTGACTAAGCACCAGTCAAATTCCTTAGATTTTTCTAAAGAAATAAAGGCATGAGTAAAATTACTTAATTTTAAATAGAAACGTATATTTATTGAAAAACACCTAACAAAAAATAAAGAAACCATTCTGAGGAACAAAAAAAAACATTCATAATATCATTGTTTTTAAGAACATTCACTAGCTCGCTGCAGAGCAGCAACAGCAGCCCAGCAGATAAGACCTGAAGATGGTACATGAGATTTTACCGAAACGTCCTCAGACATACGGTTCTTTTAAGAACCAAAAACCAACAACACGGTGCTATCAAGCTAGCACATGCATGTGTAGATAACGGCACATCATCCTCGTCACTGAACCCACCCTCGCAATTGTCTTTATTCTCTTAAAATTAATTAGTCAAAATGACCCAGAACACTATTTAAAAAGCATTATTATGATTGCACCTTGGTCCATGGTTTTTCCAGTGCAATTTAGTTTTTAAAGTATTAATATTTTTTAACCGATTAAAAAGTGAAACGGCGTAATATTTCCATGCTATAAACGAAGTTTTTATTTTAATCGTAATTTAAATAAAACAAATTAATCGATTTATATCGCGATTATTTAAATAACAATCCTGATAAAAAATTAAGTAAATTTTCTTACCTGTCCATGTAATCATGCAGTTCTTTATCAACCTTCCTCAGTAATGAATAAATATAGTTTAATCTGTAATCGGTTTTTTCCATTGTAGGCTCCATACACTCCCTTAAATGATTTGTACTCAATTTCTCCATAATACTAAAAGCTACAGCCTCACCAACAACCATTAAAAATGTTACGGCTACATCATGGTAACCCTACAACAAATAAAACCATAACTGGTGATGGCAACGATATATCGATATTTTTTGTATCGAAATATTTAAGAAAATATCGATAGGTGTAACCAAATAGGTTGTCATTGTTGTTTTTCCACTATCATTTTTCACGGTGCTGTTCTGAGAAGTGATTTTCAGACTTTCTGAGAAACTTTTTTTTTGTAAAATTCTATTAATGTTTGAAATTTGTAAAATGTTTTTCAAGTTGTTAGAATGTGTTTTGATAATAAAATAAATAAGAACTATTTAGACCAAATAAATAATTTTGTGATTATTATATTATATGAGTATTGCCATTATTTATCGTGTCCCCGAATTTTTACAAAACCATGAAAATGGATTAGGAAGTTATTTTGAGCAGGCATTTGAAGCTGTCCATTCAGACTTTAAAGCTTAAGCCAAAAATTTTTTGTACCAGTATAAGTTGAATAAAAAACACCCAGAATATCCAAACCATTTAGTTACTGCCATCATAGAATATAATGCATGTCATTTATAATTGCATATTGTAAGAAAACAGTAAATGAATAAAAAAAAATGTGAAAACATTTTTTTTTAAGAAAATTTAATAATCTTTAATCTAATTTAAACGTTTTGCCAATGTATTGTAATGGTACGATATATGGGGCAGTTAATTTTTAACATTTCTTAATTTATTATTTTAATACTCTACGAAATATTAGACTAGTTCTAAATATTTACCTTAAAATAGTATAAACTGTTTATTAGTAACTTAATATTTAGACTTATTCTGTTTATATTATATAATAGTATAATTGTTAAACAAACTTAAATCGACCCAGATGATGTCATCGGGCGTTCGGCTGAAAGCACCAGTAACCTATTATCGATATGCTGATTAAGGACATTTTTATATAAACATTAGTCTGGATTTGTGTGGGATCGTTTTTTTAGATTATTATTAATTCTCTCTCGTTCGAAGTGACCACTTGTATTAAAAATTTGTTAAATAAATATTAAAATTATTAAAATATAAAATTGTGTTTACACTGTTTACAACATATCAGAAGTGGGATACGCGCGTGCCCAAATTATAGACAGCAGTTTATTATTGTTTTTTTTTTAATATGAAAAATCTTGTTACTTACAGAACAAACTAGCTGGTTCTGCACGAGACTGGTATAATCGTCTGGAAGATTATGATAAGACTTGGGACGAATGGAAAACCGCACTTACTCAAGCTTTTCCACGGCATACAGATTATGCAATACTTTTAGAAGAACTCGTGGCCCGTCAAAAACTTCCCGAGGAAACAATGACTCACTACTATCACGCAAAATTTTCCCTAGCTCAGCAGTGCCGTTTGGAAAATGATGGAATTATTTCCTGTGTGATTCGAGGGCTACCTATCGAATTGCAAGCCAATGCACGAGCTTTTCAGTGCACAACCCCTGAGGAATTGTATGCTGGCTTCATTGCACCCATGGACAACTACCAAACACCAACATCGAGCCGAGTGAAAGTGCCCCGACTTTCTGTTGAGATGCCGAACCACCGGCTTAAAACTCAATTTGCTTCGTACAATAGTGCTCGTTGTTATAATTGCGGAAAAAGTGGGCATATTTCCCGCGATTGTCGACAACAAAGTCCACGATGCTTTAACTACAATCGAAAAGGACACATAAGTACGGAATGTCGTTTTCGTCAAGATCACGGTAATCAAAAAGAGCCCGCCAAAAATGTGAAAACTGTTTTAAATTGTGCGAAAATTTCGGATGTTTACAAGAAAAAATGTCAAATCGGCGGAATTGATATTATCGGTTTTATCGATACTGGAAGTGAAGTTAATGTCATAACTGCCAAAATTGCTTCAAAACTTAATCTCCCCATTATTAAAGAAAACAATATATTAAAAGGTTTTGGGGGTCAGTACGTGTATTGCGAATCAGTTGCAAATTTTTCGGTTATCATAGATGGATTATTGATCAATACCCGCGCAATAATTTCAGAAATATTTCTCAATGATATTGACCTTCTTATCGGACAACCTGTGCTAAATAAAGAGGGATTATCATTAGTAATTAAGAACGGTATTCCTGAATTCGTAGAAGACTTATGTAACTATTTGCAAAACATTACACTCGAGGAAGCCGAACAACGGCCAAAAATGTTATTATCAGAAGACGTGACAATAGGTGCGGGTTGTACAAAAGTGGTGTCTACTGTAGTTCTTGGAGTTTCCGAAGGCAAAAGTGTTTATCAAGAAGCAAAATGTTATCCCTTGGGCCAGTCCATTATACAGAGTCCTGCTGGCGTTCATGCTAGTTCAGCATCGCACATGATTATCTCCAACATTGGGCGCCAGGCCGTAGCGTTTCGTAAGGGTCAGCTGTTGGCACGCGCTGAGGAGTGCTTAGAGGGAGATGATCTGGAAAAAACCTCCTTCTTGGTGAATCATTCTAAAAATAATTCTCCTTTAGATTTGACTGAAATTGATATTGATAAGTCGCTAGAGTCTGAATCATTAAATAAATTAAATAAAATATTAATGAGGTGGCAACATTGTTTTGCAAATACTACCAAGCAGTTGGGGGTAGTAAAGGGTGTCGAGATGTCTATAAAGTTGAAAGATGCAAAGCCCGTATGTTACAAACCGTACCGATTACCTTTTAAAGAAAGAGCGATTTTAAAAGAAAAAATTAAAGATTTATTAGATGCCGGAATAATTCGTGAGTCAAGTTCAGAATTTGCAAGCCCTGTAATTTTAGTTCGCAAAAAAGATGGTGACTATCGCCTCTGTGTCGATTATCGTGCTTTAAATAAACAAACGATAAAAGATGTTTATCCAATTCCAAATATAGAAGAACAGTTAAATTGCTTATCTGACAAAAAAATTTTACTAGCTTAGATTGCAGTCAAGGTTTTCATCAAATTCCCATTGCCCCTGAATCCATATCCAAAACAGCATTTATAACTACCGAAGGTCATTTCGAATATTTACGGACCCCGTTCGGCTTAACAAACTCGCCTTCTGTCTTTCAACTGGTCATAAATAATATTATCAGTAGCTTAGATCTTGAAAACATTTTTGTTTATATGGATGACATTTTAATTGCGTCGGCAACAACATGTGAAGGCTTACGTTTATTAGAATTGGTATTAAAGCGTTTAGATGAGACTGGACTTAAACTTAATTTGCGAAAATGTTCATTTTTAAAATCACAGGTAGAATATCTTGGTCATACAATAAGTTCTGCTGGAATAGCGCCGGGATCTCGAAAAACAGATGCAGTTAAAAATTTTAAAGTACCTAAAAATGTTCACGAAATCCGTCAGTTTTTAGGTTTAGCGGGATATTTTAGGAAATTTATTCAAAATTTCGCGATCATTGCCAATCCATTAACGCAATTAACCAAGAAAAATGTAAAATGGGACTGGGGTCATTCACAACAGAATGCATTTGACCTTTTAAAGAATAAACTTTCAAGTAAACCTATTTTGGTGCCATTTGACCATAAATTAAAAACGGAAGTACATACTGATGCCAGCAGTAAAGGTTTGGGCGGTATATTAATTCAAGAACAAAAAAATGGAGACAAGCAGCCCGTGGCTTATTTTAGTAGGGTTACGAGTAAGGCAGAGAAAGTTTATCATAGCTACGAGCTGGAAACGCTAGCTGTTATTGAGTCATTAAAACGTTTTCGTGTATATTTGTTGGGTGTGCATTTTAAAATTGTAACCGATTGCAGTGCGGTTCGTTATACCTTTAACAAACGCGACCTTGTGCCTCGTATCGCCCGATGGTGGTTACAGATTCAGGACTTTGATTTTGAAATTTGTCACCAGCCGGGAAAAAGTATGAGTCATGTGGACGCACTTAGCCGAAACGCGTTAGATGCAGACGCAAGCATTAATATCGCTCAAGTTGCTAACGTAGATGATTGGTTTTTAACTTTACAACTTCAAGACACTGCGTTACAAATTATTATTAATCAATTAAATAGTGGTGAAAAAAATGATTTACAAATTTTAAAAAATAATCGTTTATATCGTAAAACTTCCGCCGGCGAAAGATTAGTAGTGCCTAAGTCAGCTCGCTGGCAAATCATGGTAAAATATCACGACGAAATTGGTCATCCCGGGCTCAGAAAATGCGAGACTTTAATTAAAAATAAATTTTGGTTTGCAGGAATGACTAGGTTCGTTAAAAAATATGTTTGCGCTTGCATGAAATGTGCGTATAAAAAAGGAAATTTTGGAAGGACAGAAGGGGAGTTACATCCTATAAATAAGTCAAATGTTCCTATGGAGACTGTTCATATAGATCACGTTGGTCCGTTCCCAAAAAGTTCATCCGGTTTTGTGTACATACTCACGATTATTGACGCATTCACTAAATATTTTGTAGTCATACCTTGTAAAACATTGGGATCTAGGGAAACTGTCAGACATTTAAATCAAGTGTTCGGAGTTTTCCTTGGATACCCAAAACGGATTATTTAAATAATTCTGATAGAAGGGTGTCATTTACTAGCAATCATTTTGCTGAGTTTGTAAATAACAAACAGATTAAACATATTTTAAATGCAGTAAGTACGCCCCGTGCTAACGTTCAAATAGAGCGATACCACAGAACATTTTTAAACGCCATAAAATCATCTCTCGATAATGATAAATATTGGGATGAAAAAATTGCTGAAGTTGTTTGGGGTATAAATAATACCATAAATGCAAGTACGAAATGCACAGCATTTGAGTTAATGTTTAGTCACAAGGGAAAACTGTTGCAAAATCTAGAAAGTGAATTGTCAGAAAATACTGACGTCAGAACTAGGCGGCAAGCAGCTGCTGCGGCAATGGAAAAGATGGCCCATCAAATGAAAGAAACTTACGATAAAAAACATAAGGTACCTCGAAAATATATAAAAGGTAACCTGGTATTATGGCGAGACGCGAACTCTTGTAGTCAAATAGGTATCAGCAAGAAACTTGATTCACGATATTCTGGTCCGTATATC